TCTGACTTTTTTTATCTGTGAAATATTTGTTCTCCATGATCTATTGCATTCTGTACTTTTGCACACATCAACCCTAACACAATGCTTTGATCCCATGTGATCAGGACACTTTCTGATCAGTTTTGTTATGTCGTACCTCCACCTCACAGGTGAAATCGGTCCCGTCCAGGAGTGCCACTTGGCACACCACCAGCTTCATCTTGGTCTTCCTCACCAGACGAAGAGGAGATGGGAAAATGGACATCTGGCCTTCTCCTCCTCCCTCCCGTTCAGTTTTCACCTTTTCCTCCAGCTCTTTCTTCTGCTCTACTGCTTTGTCCCCCTGTGTTGTCTCGTTGGCCTCCTCAGGACTTTTCATAGCACTTTCTTCCTTGGCAGGCTGAGTGTGTGAGATAAGCAAAAAAAATGTCAAACCAGGTTTCTCCACTGTGGCTGTAGAAACCTAAAAAAGTCAAAAGAAGAGGGCACCCTGCTTCCTCACTCTACTCTTGTAATTCCCCTTCTAGTCACACTTGGCTCTTTGAAACTGCGGGCGTTTCTTTTGGCCTGGTCGCTAAAAATGTTGATGTCACTGGGTGGGCCTGGGTGGCTTAATGTGATCGCTGGAAGAGTTTGTGTCTGTACATGTGTATGAGGCAGAATAGCTCTGTGTGTGTGTGTGTGTGTGTGTGTGTGTCTTTCTGAGCAGTAGTTTTAAACAGTTTGCAAGTATAGTCAGGGAACTTTTACACTGTGAAAACTATCATCTAATATCTAATAACACTTTATCCCTGGCTTTCTTACTCAGTATAGAGATTAGTGACTTTATGTGCATGTCCCCAACAATATGTGGCTGACTGAAGTAGGAGGACATTTGTTTAGGCAAAATACTTGTCACCTACTTACTGCTGGAAAACAGATTTAGCTTCATATCTGTGATTATTAACTGACCAACTAACTAACTTGCAGCAGGGCAGAATATTTATATTGATAAGATACAGATATGGTTCTTTGCAGTATTTCCCACAGTATTTGCTAGTAAATAAGGAAAATGGTGGGGCCTTATTAAGCACAAGCAAATATATTACAATCTATTCACAAATGACTGTGAATGGTCCAACAACCTGTGTAGTGTAAATCTGAGTGCAGTATGCATTTCCAGATTAAGCAACAAGATACAGACATTCCCAAACACTACAGTGATCCAAACTGCAGCAGTGCACCCTCACTGGGAGTAATCATTCTCACTCAATTGAACATATTAAAGGAACAGTTCAACATTTTGGACAATATTGTTAACCATGCATTGTGGAACGATATACAGAGAACTCTGATATCAAGTCAAGACTCCCATGTAATCTATTTATATTAACAAGAGGTGGCAATAAGCCAGATCTGTTTTCTTGGCTGACCTGTTGCTGACCCTGATGTTCACCAGGGTTAGCTACACTAGCTATTAGCCACACATCACATTGGCACACCACACACACACACATCACATTAACCACACTCAATTTTATAGGTTTGGCCCCTGAAAAGTTGGCTAGTTGAATCATTGCATCGTTACGCTCTGCATGTAATTACTAGCTTTCATACCGAGATTGACTGCTGGCTGCCTGGCAATCTCACTGTCCAACAATGTCCAACGACTGGTTGAACTACTGCTTTCAGTGGTGGGTGGATTTCTATTTATGTATTCAGCGTTATCAACACCTGTCAGTTCCCAGCCCCTGCCCCACAGAAAGATAACAGGCATTGTAATATTTGCTACTGGGCCACAATGAAACCATATGATTCAGGATAAGATGAGTAATAATTATGTGACTTTATACACAGTAATAGACAGATTTTGCTGTAATTAACAAACTTGTCCATCTGTGTTGTATTTTTCCTCACCCCTCCCACCACTCATAGATCAAGCAATCTTTGTGTGTTGGGAGAACAAACAGAGGGAAGCATTTCAACTCAAACTTAAAGTAGGTAGGTTGTCGCTGTCTACTTTATCTCCGAGCTTGTGTACCATTGGTGTATAGAGAGCAATTAAAACATATGAGCAGTACCTCAGTGTCAGCGATGGCATTGGAATTCGATTCTGCTTCTTTTGTCTGCACTTGCTCTGACTTTACTGCCTCTTTCTCTTCCACTTCCTCTGCGTGCCCGTTCACTTCTGGAGCAGGCCCCTCCTCTTCCTGTGTCACCTTGCTAACAGCTTCCTCTGCGGGTAGGACCTCCTTGGTTGGGGAAGTCTTTATGGGTCAGGAAAAAAAATACAGCCATCAAAAACCCAGCCTAGATATTCATTACATGAGTATTGCTGCTAAATAATTTAAGCTAGGTTTTCTACCAACTGTGACAGTATAATAACAAGGGTGTGTATTCACTGTACCTGGCTTTGTGACTTCTGCTTCTTAAGCCATGATGGCAGGTAGCGAGATATTCCTTTGCCCTCTTTCTCCTTCTCCTGTTCTTTCTCCTCCTGTTCTGCGTTCGCTACTTCCTCAGGCTTTCCAGATGCCTTCTCTGATTGGTCCAGCTGAGCAGCTGACTCCTCTGCTTTCTCCTTCACCTCTGTCTCAGAGCCTGCTTCTGTTGTCATGGTGATAAGTCAAACCTGCAGAGTGAGAAAGAAGAGCAATGGAGGGGTGTCAAATTAAAATAAATAAATAAATTTCACAGTGACAACATTTACTGGGTATATCCTAATATCATCATCTTTAAAAACACTTACACTTGTACACTAGTTCACTTATTAAAATGATCCTCTATCCTATTCATAACTTCAAGGACACCAGTTTGTTTTACCCGTTATTGTATGACAGCGAACTGGAAAAAACTCTGAATGCCCCACTGATTTTGGCACCAATATTAATCTGGGTTATCATTTATAAATGACTCACACCATTGCATTGCTTCTGGTTTTAAGTGCAATCAATATTTTCTTTACAACAGGAGAAACTCTTGTTATAATGGGAGTAAGTTATTAGGAACTTATAAAACACCAAAATTCAATAGATGAGTGTTATAGACTGTAAGATGCAGTAACTGATTCTGGTCCTTTGGCTCACAGCTATGAGCACATGAGCTCATATCTGTTTGAAACATTAGCTCTTGGGCTGTCCTGCCTCTTTTTCACACATACACAAAAACAAGAGTTTAGGATGCCATTATTTCATGCACTGAGTTTCATTTGGGTCAAAAGCTGGTTACAAACAGTCAAACACACACATCTGTGCATGCACACACAAACATGGAAAAATTACACAATTCTTAATATGTGAGTCATTGGTTTTACCCTGCAGCTGTGGTCAACACACACTCTTCAACCCAAATATCTTTGGCAGCATTGTCCACACACACCCAGTCACAGCAACAGACACAGTTCTACAACACTCATTTGTTGATAACACTAGATGCCCATGACACTGATCTGGATTGGGAGTTGAGGTCACAGTGTGCAGTGCTGCCTACTAAGGGGGTTCTACTTTGATACACAGCCTGTTTTGCTCTGGTGTGTGTGTGAGCGTGTGTGTTTATACACCACCATTGATAGGTTATGCTTGATTCGTATACGATTACGTCATTGCCTTCTGCAGTCCTTTTAGTTTCTAACCTTTTTTTTTTTTTCCCACCAATGACAGTATGTCTTTCTGGCCCTCTGAGGCTCGGACTCTATTATTCATTACACCATCTGCATATTAGGTGAGGGAGTCTTTGCACATCTGCCAAGCTAAAGCTCAAACCGTTGCTGCAACAGACAGGAGAACATGAGGCAGGGTCTATAAAGATGGAATCTAGAGGACAAGGTAATCCTTAGAGCATTTAATAAGCAACTCTCACTTGGACTTAAAGGATGTCTTTATTTCCACATCACCTAGAGAAGCAAACACTAAACAAAGCATTATGCAGAGAACACTGCTGTATTAACACACAGTACAGTTCAGCCATATGGATTAAATGAGGAAATACATTTTTATTGTTTTATGTTTAGTTTCTATTATAATTTTATAACCTACTTTTATGTGAGACTATGGCATTGGCTGGACGTAAGCAACACCCGTACCTACAGCTATTAGCTACACCACCACTGCCTCTTCTTACTCTGATGAAGACACCACTTAGTCAAAATTTTAGTTGCTGCATCTTATCAGTTCCTCCACGATGTGATTTCTGCCATCACAATTTTGTTTAATCTTCATGCATTCCCCTACTTTCCCCTTTCACCTATCATTTCAGTTCTCTGCACAAAATGTCAAGCCCAACGTCACTAAACTCACTTCCTTGTCTCTGAAGATGCAGACGTGTGACACCAATGTCTCACATTTAACAAAAAATCCTAATAAAGACCATTCAATTCCCAGATGTTCTGCACAAAAGTGGGGGTAAACTGTTCTATATGATGCGTAACATTATGGTCAAAGTCACTGCCTGACAAACACTTCAACAAAACACACCCAGAGTATGACTGGAACGCCTAGAAACATTGCAACATGCATCACAGTTGTTTTTTTTTTTTTAATAAAAACTGCTGTGCTCCAAATCCTGCTGTCTCCATTTTACTTCCTAGCCATCTTACCGGTTGCCTGACTCTCTGTCTGCTCTGCCACCTTCAATAAGAGATGACATGGACGCACACACACACACACACACACACAAAATCACATTGCAGCAGAGGTGTGCAGGGAGGGGACGGAAATAAAAATAGAATAGGTCTCCTTACCATGGAGGGGAGGAGAAGAGATGAGGGCATGTGCAAATTTTACAGAGGCAACACATGCACTTGTGTAGATAAGGAGAACAAAAGACTAACACTACTGACTTCTCTCTTATGAAGAGCTAATACCATAGATGACAAAACAGGATAATCCTGGTGATACATTATATTTTAATTTTGTCAACAATGTGCATGAAGAGATCAAGAGAGCCAATATACAACACCTTCTGACTTCCCAACAACCACTGGACAGACAGCCATGAACTTCAGCACAAATGTTAGCATGCTAACACACTAAATTAAGATGCTAAACATGTCAAACATTATTTTAGAATGCTGACAATGTTCATGCTGGGATAATTTCCTAAAATAGATTCTGAGAGGTTATTTTTCCAAGAGTACTGCCAGTGTATATTGCCCAGCAATCAAGAACATCTATTTTGAAGTGCAGTGTGCACCATGATGACATTGTTGCACATGCTTTAGATATGGAAAAAATAGAATTTGTGAAATGTTCATGACAGGTTGCCATCTGTGCAGGGGGCCCAAAGAAACGATAAAATCAGTTTGGGCTTTTTGGCTTTTGTTCTAAGCGCAATGTCTTCTTCAATCTACCCAACCCTAAAGTCATCAAAACAGGTCTGTTACCACCTACTTAACTGTAGCTCCCACTCTTCTGAGACACTGGGTCTCTCAGTGGACTAGCATGCAGTGTGTGTGTGAGAGCAAGAGAGCAAGAGAGGGAGCTGGCATCTGAGTGCAGCTTTTTGCAAGATGTTCGTCACGGCCACTTAGGCCTGCTTGAAACTGGCCCTCTCTCTCTACAACTGTATAACACCGGGAACCTTGTTCTACCTCTTTCACAACTCATCCTTTCCTCATCTCTATCCCTTTCTTCTGGGGCCCCCTTTCAATCCCCTCCAATCCACCACTCGTATTATCTCCCCCCTAAAACCCCTCCTCTTGCTCTCTTCTTCCCACAGTCCATGTAAACAATGAAGTTGACATTACTGCGGCCTCTCTTCATATAGACCAATACACTCACATGCTGAAGAGTTTATGGCAGGATCTGTATCCAACACAAGTCATTGTTATGTAGCTGACAGTCAAATATTCATGTGGATTTTTCCCACCACTTGAGCTAGAAATTTGACAGCAGCTTCATATAAATGAGATGAAACTCATTCTGCCATTTAAATTAGACGAGGTACTTCAGTTTGTGCACATTTTTCTAATTCAACTCCACTGATCTTTCTGTCTAACACTTAGCATGTTGCAGCTCACTTCCTCATCTTACCTCATCTCTTATCTTCCTATGAACTTACATATTTGCTGGCTACTTGCTGTTGAAGGAGGTTTATCAGTCTGCATTTGGCAAATTAACATCACACATAGTTGTACTAAAGAAGAAAAACTAACATTTTACTGTGCCTAACAACACTGATTAAGCTTTACTGCAGTAAATCTGCCCATTCTCAACCAATGACATGCTAGACCTGTCCTGTTTTTGGTTAAAATGAATGGTTAAAGGAACTGATGGACACAACTAACAGCCTTACCTACTGTTGTTTCTGTTGCTCTCTCCTCTTCCCTTTCCCCCCTTCTATTTTCCTTCTGTTTGTTCAAGCTTGCTTTTTCCACTTAAATCTTTCTCTTCTGTTCTTTACTTATGCCGATGTCCGTTTCCTTTCCTTCACTTTCTCTTCCCACCTCTTAGCAAATGCCTGCCCTACAAACTGTCATTGCCATCTTCTCTCTTCCATCCTCTCCTCCTCTCTCTCCCTCGGCGCTCTGCATCTGCTTTCCCCCGGGACTATCGCTCAGAGAAATGAGGGCGAAAAATGAGAGAACATGAGAGGGTGGGTGGTTGGAGAGCAGACGGCAAAGAGGAGTGTTTGAGAGAGAGGAGCAGAGGCGAGAGAGAGGTGGAAGAGGGAGAAAGGAGAAAGGAGAAAGACCGCACCTAATATGCATGCATTGTATGTCTGATGGACACTGTCATGGAAATTACAGCTCCGTTTCTTTCATTCATTCTTCACTACACATCACTAGAAGAGCTAATATTCTTTTAACATCGTACTTTCAATTAACCCACAATCTGTCACTTCAATATTTATCAAAACTCATTATAAAGCTGAAGCATAATCTCTTTTTCTCCAACACATCATTTGTGGCTGAATCACATTAATCTTGGCTTCTTAGTTACAATCCCTCAGAGAAGCTCCACAACACAAAACCTCATGTTAAGTAGTTACACAGAATAACACCAAGGAAGATGCTCCAACCACCAGATTTTTCAGGTTTGGCTAAAAATACCTGTGGTGGGCCTCTGGCTTGACTATATGAGACTACATCCTCATTTCCCCATCTTGAGCGTTGCCATTTGAAATCGCCACACTGCAGCCTAGCCCCAGCTAGGGGCTCATGTACGTATTACATACACTCAAGTCACAGAGATAACCCTTCCGCTAACTTGGGGAATTGGTACTTGCTGACCGTTTTAACCCCGTACCATCATTTAACAGCTGTCACCCACATTCTGAAGATATTCTCTGAACCCTCATAGCCTCTTCTAACAATGACGAATTAAAAATAATCCAGTCCAGGAAAAATATAATTTTATTCTGTTTCTCAGCTATATCAACTCTTCACATATAAACAAAGAGGACACAGGAAACTACATTATCGCTCTGGGTTTTTGTGTGAAAGCGGCTTTACTTTCACCAAAAAAAAGCAAGAGAGAAACATCACTTCCTGTTAGGGTCTATGACGATGCAGAAAATACCATCATTTCTGTGACTCGAGTCTATATAATATATGAGAGCTGGGGCTAATTGCAGACACAAGTCAAACAAACACACGTACAACTTTATTGCTGTACGCCTGGGTTTCAACGATCGTTTCCATAACAACACCTGCCTGGCCTGTGGCTGAGAGATAAAATTTTATGAGACAGTGATACAAAATTGAGTGCAAAAGTCATACAACGGAAAGAAAAGGCAGAGGTAACCTGTCCAGTGGTTTTGGGTTTATTCTGATCTGATAAAGCAGATATGACAACTCTCAGTCTAATATAAAAACATATACAGTACATACTCGCCCACCGCACTCTGTGGGGCAGAGAGGGGAGGAACGGGTTTCCATGGCAATGACATTCACAGACTATAACAACTAATCCCCATGGAGACAAGAGATTACTGCAGCAAAAATACAGATTAGCGGACAAGCGTGGAAGTGACAATAGAGATTACTACCATACCTAAACTCATTTCAAACCGCACCAGATTTACAGCAGCTCTTACATGGCAAACCTACAGGAACTGTGGCAGCTACTCTCCAGGCACTCCTCTCATCCACACTGATGCATCACACCCAATTAAAAGGTACTTGGTTTAACATATATGTATCTACTCTATATCTGTGTGTCTGCTACTTCAGTTTTACTTATGATACAGTACTTCTGTCCATCCACTCAATGTTATTTTTGTCAACCCAAAAACAGTGTTAGCTGTAGCTAGTAGCATTTGCTCCAGATTGTGTCAAGATACTTCTAGATTACTGTGTACTTCAAAACCCACAAATATCAAATAAGTTCTCAGCTTCAGGGAAGAGCTGTAAGTACTACACCATTCCAACCCATTGACCCACAAACAGCACAGAAACCAGACAGACAACAATATCCGGTTTATGTGTTTAGACCATAAACCGGATATAAAATTAATGATGCATTACCACTTCCCTGCACTATGTAAGTATTGTAAATATAGTAGCTGCTATTTTGGCTTTTTGCAACCAGATTATTTGCAGTAGCAATGAGAAGTTTATTGACAGCATCAGGCCGCCAATCAAAGCTGTCAAATCATCCAAAATATACCCATTTTTATATCATCTATTAGCTTATCAACAAACTTACCAGAGCTATAACCACTGTACACACAAATCAGCATGATATCCAACAAAAACGGGGGAAAATTTACTGGTTGGTACTTTGAGCTTTTTGTTTGGCCCATCCACTAACATGGACAGGGCGATATTTGTGACTTACACTGCAACCAGCCACCAGGGGGCGATCGACTCATGGTGGCTTCACTTTTACTAACTATGCTCAACCTTAATCACAGTGTGGCTGTTTCTGACAGCTGATGTACATGGAGCGTAATGGGTTCAAGTAAACAAAGAGAATAAGAAATCATTTGGTTTGAGACTAATGAATTAATTAATCCATTCCTGGGCAGCACGGTGGCGCAGTGGTTAGCACCGTCGCCTCACAGCAAGAAGGTTCTGGGTTGAGACTGAGGGATGAGACTTTTCTGTGTGGAGTTTGCATGTTCTCCCCGTGCTTGCGTGGGTTCTCTCCAGGTACTCCGGTTTCCTCCCACAGTCCAAAGACATGCAAGTTAGGTTGATTGGTGTCTCTAAATTGCCCATAGGAGTGCGTGTGTGCGGTTGTGGTTGTTCGTCTATGCGTTAGCCCTGCAATGGATTGGCGACCTGTCCAGGGTGTACCCCGCCTTCACCGGCCGGCCCGG